ATGGGGAGGGCACAAAGGTCACCAAAAAAGGACCATAGGCAACTTTCCCTGTCACTGTGCATGCAGGGTGAAGGCACAGGGAACACTGGGGGCTTGCAAGCCCAAGCACGACTAGGAACCAACATTGGGATCACAAGGACAAAAAGGGTGAAAGCATCTGGAGCTCTGGGAACAACTACACTCCCAAGGTGTGGTGATGGATGGTTTTCCTCCAGATCTCAAGAATAAACAAGGATGGAGGCTGAGGGAGACAGGAATCCTGCCTGCTCTTGGAGCTGCAGGAACCAGATAGGTCATGGCTGCTCCTGCCTGGGGAGAAGTGACACGGGGCTCCTGTTAGCAGCAGCCCACACACTGCCAGGCAGGGAGCTGTGGACCTGCACCTTACCTTTTGATTTAACAGTGGTAATGATGATAGCCAAGAGTAAGAGCAGTCCAATCATCAATCCTGCTATGATGACTGTGTGGCTGTTGGGAAGAGAAGGAGGTCCTGGTAACGACAAAGGGATATGCCAGGCACATCCCAAAGCACCTCTGCTCAACATCAGAGCAGGGATGCTTCAAACCCTGCTAAACCCTTCCTACCTTGCACCACTGCTCCCCCCAGCTCTGCCTCCCTGCTGCACACCCCCATTCCACTCTGGGACAGTTGTGGGGCAACCCAGACCTCCCCTCTTGATTTTCCAGTGGCAAAAAGAGTGAAATGATGCTGAAGCTGCTCAGAAAGACTGGATATCCCCCAGCAGCTGTAGGAAGAGGTAAACTGCTCCGGCCTCAGATTCCCCAGTCTCCAGCATTGATTTGGGGCAGCATGGCAATGGCAGTGGTGCCTTGGGGACCCTGTGACATTTGGGGACCAGATGCAGAACAGATGGCAGCTCGCCAGAGCAGGGATGCAGGCTGTGCTTTCTGGTGGGGTGGGGGAGAGAACAGGGAAGAGAGGAGAGAAATGAATGCTTCGATAAAGCCCCTGACTGGGGACCTTTTGCAGGATGTGTCCTGTCCCCAGCACATCCCCAGCACATCCCCAGCATCCCCCACGTGTGCATCCTTTGAGAGCTCTCACCTGCACAAAGGGCAGAGGGAAAGACAGTGGCGTTGCAGCTGCTGATGGGGTTCTGTGCTGTGCAGGTGCTTCAGATCTGCAGGGTTCTTCTGCCTCTCCACCACCACCACCACCACTCAGATCCCTGTCTGTCTGGCTGATCTTTGTAGCTCCAAAAGAAGGAACTGCCCCCTGGGGGGGTCCACAGTGCATTGCAGTTCCACCCTTTGCAGCTCACCAGCAGCTCCAGCAGCTCCACCTGTGAGAAGTGAAGGGGCTGTCAGCAAATTCCCCCACCCCACTTCCAGCCTGGGGCCAGAAGCAAAAAACACTCACGGTACACATGCAGGGTGAAGTTCACTTTGACCTCGTCGTTTTTTGTTAAGTAGGTGCCACTCCTCCTCAGCTGCTAGATGGTGAGCTGCTGTTGTTGGGAAAGGCCACGCAGAACACGAAGGATTTGTCAGAAAACACGAGTTTAGGAGATGCCCCCAATCTGATGACCAATAGGGGTTCATCACGGAAGCTCCAGGTCAAGTATTGTCCTATCAGGTTCTGAAGGTGGAATGTGACAGACTTGCCCTCTGCCCCGGCTACGTCCATCCCATTGCTGAGTAGAAAAACCCAGCTGAGGCTAGAGGAGGGGTGCAGGGCTCCAGGGTGCTGCTTGTGGAGCCCTCCACCCTAGGGGATGGATCTTTGTTCCCTGAGCCCCTTCTTGCTGTTTGTGCTTTCACATCCCCTAAGTACGTGGCTGCACCAGGAACATGCAAGGGGTGAAGCAAAAGCGCAAGGAGGAATTGGAATCAGCTTGGAGAAGTCGAGCAGGTTCCCTCTTCATGGCAGATGAGATGGCCAAGTTCACCTAAAGGAACCTGTGGAAAGCAGGTGGCCTCTTCCTGGAATTTGACACTTCCCTCTTCTGAGGAGGGAGAAGACACTGTCCTGTTATCTTTCCTACTTCCATTTTAAATCCCCTCTGCCTTGCTTGAACCTGGAGTGGAGCTTCTTTCCCCCCTACAGCTTGGGAAGAATGGATCTTGGCACCGGGAGGTGTTCTCTCTCCAATGCTCATTTTTGAAGCCAAGCAAAGGCAGTTTTGCCCACACCCCTTCCCTGGTGAAGGCTCCAAGGACAAGCTGCCCTGGCCATGGGGAAGTGTTGGTGGGGGAGATAAGGATGGAAGGGATGGAAGTGCTGCTGCATGATGCATGTCCTTCAGTTTCCTGTCCAGGCTGATAACAAGGGCATGGAGTCACCACCAGCATCACAGCTGCACTCCGTTGCCCCTGCAAGTGTCACAGCCAGCTGCAGACCCAACATGAAGCATTGGTTTCTGATTACAAAGAGCATCTCCATCCTGCAGGGGAGCAAACCCCATCATGAGCCAGCACCTGGCCAAAGCCAGGACCCCAGCAGGATTCAGGGACCTCTCCTGGCTCTCCAATGCTGATTGGGAATTCATGTGATTTTCCCTTCTGCACTTCCCTCAGGTTTACTTACTGTGCCCAGGACATAACGAGACACACAGATCTTCCCAGTGTTCGTGGCAGCTTGGAAATCAGCCAGAAAGCTGTGCTTCATTTTCAGAACCAGACCTAAATACCCCATAATGAAAACGTGAGAGCTGGAGGTACTGAAAATTCTGAAGCAGCTCATGGGTGGCAACAGGGCAAAGACCCCGAGCTCAACACAGGAGGGCTGCAGAAGGATGCAGAGAGCAGCAGCGTGGTGGCAAGGCTGGAGCTGGGAGCTGGCACTCATCATCAGTGGGATCTGCGGTGGGATCAGGACAAGATCTGGGATCTGCTCAACTGCTTTGGGACAGCACAACAAAGCCCTAATAATGAGTTAAAAAACAACATCTGTCCTCACAGAAGGCACTGCACTGTGTGCTGATGGCTCTGCATGAGACAGTGCTGCCAGAACTCTGTTCTCCTGGGTATTCCCAAACCAACCCTAGCTTCAGGATCCCACCCTCCCTCCCATCCACGAGGGAAGCACACATTGCACCCCTGCTTGCTTACTGGAGGTGGAAGGTGAGCAACAGGCATCAAAATACATCCAGTTGACCTCACAGCATAGCTGGGTGTGCTCTGCTCATATAAGAACCACTGCTTGCAATGACAAAACGAAGTGAGAGTATGACAGAATCATCAGAAACAAAACTCTCACATCAGCCCAGCTCCAACACATCCCCAGTGTGCTGGGAAAACTCAAAGGATGGTGACACCCCCCTGGACCAATGCATCACCACTCCTTTGGAGAAGGAATTGTTCCTAAAGTCCATTCTGATGCCACCCTCTGCATCCAACCCCATTTGGGCTCACCCCAAATGCCATCCCTAAGGAAGGCGTGTGTGATAATGGCATTCTTCTGAGCCCAGCAAGCTGGCAGGAGATGCGTGACAGAACTTCCCATAGTGTGTGCACTTTTTGGTAGGCTGGGAAAGAACGGAGCAGTCAACGGGGAGCGGTGTATTTCGGGGCCAGATCTGGGTGAAGCCCGGCTCCCAGCTGCTCTCTGCCTTGCTGAGAACACCGGTGAGCACCGATGGACGGAGGTGCGCATGGTCCCCCTGGTGGCTGCCATCTCCACGTAGGGACGGCAGCCACCGCGGCTTCCCGCTGGCGCAGCTTGAGGCCATCACCTGCCATCATCTCATCGCTGTTTTCTGGGTGAAAAGACCAACCCCCATCCACGCTACATCCTCCTTTTAGAGAATGGGAGTCATAAGGTCTCCCCTGGGCCTCCTTTTCGGTGATAGGGTGCTTGGGGGGTTTCTGCATTAACCACACCTCGCAGGCGTTTCACTGCCCACCTGCAGGTCCTTCTGCTTAAGCTCAATTCTATTTCTCAGAGGGTTTCCAGGTGTTCCTGGTGATCTTAGGCCCTGATCCAGAAGGTACAAAAGCTTTCGAAGCAGAACCCACAGGTTGCAGTGCTGGCTGCTCTGCTTCTGGCTGTGCTCAGGCTGGTCCCTGAAGCCCAGAGAAGAGAGCATTGCAGCTTAACCCACGGATTTCCTTCCCCCCATCACTTCAACTTGATGTTCCCATTGCAAAGAGGGTTGAGGTGCAAGAAAATCCTGTAGGGCACATGGAATGAAAACCAAAGGTGAGAAGCCTCCAGGCAGAGCGTGGCAGCAGTGACACAAGGCATGATCGTGTGTGTGAGCAGTGTCACACCCAGCAGCATGCTGGTGCTCATGGACCTCCATCACTGGGGTATGCAGTGTAAGGGAGATGAGAGCCAAGCTGTCCACTTGCACAAACAGCTCTGTGAGCACATCTGGCAGTGGTCCTTACAGCAGCAGGACAGCTCTGCAGACTCCCCAGGGTAAAGGGATGGAGAGGGAGGACCCACATGGTGCTGGGGGCATGGATGGCTGTGCCAGGCTGGACAGCAGAGGGTCAGCTGAAACACAGCAGCCACTTCCCCAATTTGGCTTATTTTGGGAAGCGGTCTGACGCTGGCATCGTATCAAAATTGGAGGGAAGTGTGCAAGGCCAGATGGGGATGTCTGGCTTCAAACTTGTGATGATTCCTCTGCTGGGCTGAAGGAACAGGCTCAGCTGTTGCTCTTCTCCCCAGTGCTGAGCCATGGGAGGGTGAGCAGGAGCAGTGGATGTGATCAGCTCATCCTGTGGGGTAATGCAGGCACTTCTTCAGCACAGGGTGCATGCAAGTTATCATTGCTCAAGACAGAAATAGTTACCAAGCCCTTAAGGGAAGCTCCTTCTTTGTCCCATGCTGGTGGAGGACAAGGCAAAGAAGGAGTAATGAGGATGTGCTCCTGGGGAAGCAGCATCTTTGCAGACCTCGCAAGAAAGCAGCTCAGCTGATTTTTGCTGAAGTAATGGGAAGAGGAAGCTTGAGATGTGCAGAAATGCAGATCTTTCCCCCCAGAGCCTTACACAGCTGCAACCCTTGCATGCTCTTTCACAAGCCTTCCTGAAAGATTTCCCCATAGCTTTATTTTCTCTAGCAAGTGAGATCGGCCGTGCTGCCCGAGCCCAGCAGCGGCACAGTAGGAAAGAGCCGACAGCCCTGAACCACCCCTTGTCCTGGTGCTGTACATGGTGGGCACACGGAGCTGCCCATACCCCTAAACTCAGCCGGACACCCGGCCTAGGGGATGGAAAAGCGATGCGGCGCTTCCCACAGCCACCTTGAGAGCTGGGAGAGCCGCGGGGGCTCCTCGCTGTGACACCTCGAAACCTCCCAAGGGGCACCTTCTGATTCGTTGGTTTTCTTTTTCTTCTGTAGTTCGGCGCTCCACGTTGTCCCCTATGGGCTCCCCCTGGCGAGTTCGTCCCTCCGAGCGCTGCTGTTGTCTCGTCCTGTCCCTGCGCTGCTCTCTTTGCTTTCTTTCCTTCCTTCGGCCATACGCGTTGCTCCAGCGATCATCAGCGCGATGCTTTGGGGCCGGGAGCAGCGTGTCCCATTTCCGCAGGGATGGGCAAAATCTCCTGCAGGGATGCGGGATTTGGATGCAGGGTGCGGTGGCGGAGCCGGGTCCTGCCCCGCGGGGAGCCTCAGCTGATGGGCAGCATCACGCCACAGGCTCCGTGTTGGGGCTCTGCAAGGCAAAGTGAGGGTGAGCGAGGTGCTCAGATCAGGGTGCTCAGTGTGGGACCCACCTCAACCCCTTTCCACTTACCTGAGAGCTGTGGGGGGCCAGGGATGTGCCAGTGGCTGCAGCATAAGTGGTGGTGCAGGTGGGGTGATCAGAGCCCGCGGGGCTGCAGGGGGACTTCAGCTTCTGTACAGGGAGCAGAAAGCGAGCAATGGCAGCCAGCATGCTGATCTTCCCTTCCTCCAGTACTACAAGGCCTCCTGATACAGTTTATCCCCAGAGCCACCTTGGGATGCTGAGGGCTGTGGAGATTGCAGCACCCAGAACAATCCCAGAGTAAAGCAGCCCTGCTGCAGGTGACAGCTGGGGAGCCCACAGCCACCCACTTCAGAGTGGGTATGACCTCACTGTCCCCTGTTGCAAGGCTGCATTGGCATCCTGTGCTCCAACCTCACCACCCATAGAGCTGCAAGGACACACCTGCAGGGCTCACTCACCTCCACCCGCTGCACCTCAAAGTAGATGATGTGCACTGTGCTGTTCTCAGCCAGAGGCAACTGCTGCCTTGGTTGTCCTGCACCAGGAACACAGCAAAGTCACCACAGGGATGGGGGGAGCAGCAGGACCCCTGCTGACCCCATACTCCTCCCCCTGTGAGGTTCCCAGTGGTTTCCCATGTTGCATCCAACCCTGACGCAGCTGTTTGGCTACGGGCTCATTGGCTTGGTGAATTTGTCACTGCTCAGAGTGTTCACCCTCACCAGGGCGTTCTGCAGAGATGTTGCTCTCTTGAGCTTGGGCTGAGATCACACGTTTCTCCTTGAAGCTGTGTGATATCATCACAGAAGTGCAGCATCCGCACAAAGCCCTTCAGGTCACATACTAGGCAAAGCAGGTATCTATGTCTTTTTTTTTTTTTTCTTCTTTTTTTTAAAGCTGCTTTCCTTCCTGTCTGTTACCCGATGCTTAAAAAGAAGCAGGACCCACTCAGCCTTCCACCCATGGGAGCAGGGTAACCCAACACAAGCCTCGGGGAGCTGTGAGCTGCTCCTGTCACCCCCAAACCTTCACGCCCTGCACTCACTCATGTTTGCAGCCACATAGGCCACAGTGAAGGCCCCGGCAAGCACCATCAGGATCATTATGGGCAGCACCACCCCCAGCAGCAGCAGCAGCAGCATCCCTGTCCTCCAGCTGCCTGTGGCTCAGATAGAGCGAGGGTCAGCATCCAGCAGAGAGAGCTCATGGTTAACCCCACCCCTCCACGTACCTTCGTGCCTATTTATGGGGCTGAGGATTTCAGAGAACGATAACAAGGAGCAGGAAATGCTTTTCTTTTTTCTTTTTTCTTTTTTTTTTTGAGCTGAACTCTCTGTAGTCAGCTTCAAAACGCAACGGCCAGCATAAAAATGTCGCTGAGGGGTGGATGAGGCTCTGACACTTCTCTGGAGGCTTTGTGGGGAGCCCAGGGGCAGAGCTCTGCACCTCCAGTCCTCCTGAAGGGACAGAGGCTGCCACACATGTAAGTGTTACAGGGGCGTCCCTGCGTGTGTAAGGTTTGGAGGGACCCAGTGCTGGGAAATGCGCCTTGCAGCACCTTGTGTCAGCATCTTCCCCTCTTTAGTGAGACCTAGAGATGATGTGGGGACCTTTGCTGGGCACAAGGCATTGAGAGAGCCCCACGTGGGTGGGGGACAAAGAAGTGGTGTCACCGCTGTGTCCCCAGGGTGAGGGGCAGCCACTGCATCACACAGCCACAGCAAAAGTCCCCACGTCACAAGGGAGGGCAAGAAAAACCCAATGACAGAGAGCATGATTTTGGCCTCAAGAGCCTCCTGGGGGGAAGTTGAGGTTCTCATCATCCCCAGCTCTCCTGGTGTGCAAATCTCATGCGTTTCAAATGGGCCTGGTGCAGCAGGGCGCAGCGAGCACGGCTCAGCGCTTATGGGAACGGCCATGCAGCCCACACAGGTGCTGTGGCTTCTTTTCCTGCCAAAGGTTCCTTCGAGGTGAAGAAAGCAGTGTGAAAAAATCCCCCACGGGGCTGAAGGTGGGGGAGAGAGTGGAACCAGGGCTGCTGCATCCCCGGGGGCTCACCTCGCTCCTCGGATCTGCAGATGGAGGAGTGGAGGGCGGTGGTGCAGCAGTTGACAGGGTTGCTGGCAGTGCAGGCGCGAGGCAGGGTGCTGTTGGTGGGGTCGGAGGAGAGCAGTAGGAGGCTGCCATTGTGGGTGCAGAGCGATGAGGTGCTGGCCTCAGAGCTGGCCCAGCTGCAGGACACGCTGTCCCCTTGTGCTGCTGTGCAGTTGAGAGTGACTGTGCTGCTGTCATTGGCCAGCATCCAGTCGAGGATGTGGATGCTGGGATCAGACACGGGCTCTGGATGGAGAGAAGGGATAAAGGCTGAGAAATCCTATCGAGCCCTCCTGCCATCACCTGGAGGTGCTGCTCCAGTCCCAATCCTGCCAGAGGCTCTGGAAATGAGGCTGAGGTCTGCCTTCACTAGAAGGTTCTGGAAAAGGGTCTTGGGCTCACCGCCACCTCTCAGCCCAACGCTCCCGCCATCCCATCAATGCAATGCGTCTCACCATACGCCACCAGCTGGATATGCCAGTTTTTCTCCCCTGCTTCCATGGTGACAGAGTATTCACAGAGCTGCTGGTCAAGCCATTGGGTGCTGAGGATCTCCAGTGAGAAGCTGGGTGGAAGAGAAACTGTCCCAGTTTGTAGTTGGTGTAGTTACCTCTGTAGTATGTGCACAAGTATTCCTTGCTTAGTGGGTTTTCCATGCTCCTCTTCCATGTGACTGTTCCAAAGTGCTGGGTGAGATTCTGGAAGTAAGGGGGGGAATCCCCAGGTCTGTTGCCTTCCCCAGGTTGCCAAGCGCTGTCTCCATCATCCCACAGCCTAAGCCTGGAAGGAGAGCAGAGATGTGTGGGAAGAGCCTGGAGGAGCTGTGACCCCTCTGGTTACAGAACTGCATGAGCAGGGGACAGTGCTGGGATTGCCCTGGTAATCTCATGTCAACCCCTATGCAATGATCTGCTCGTCTCTCTGCTGAGGTGCCTCATCGTGTTTTCAGCCTGAGCTCTGGGTTGGGCACCACATCCTGCCCCAGTGACAGTGGCCCCACACTCCAGCAACCCCTGCGTGCCCCGAGGGTGTCTGAGCACCACCAGTGGCAGTGGTACCTGGTGCACACCAAAGCACTTTGGTCGCCAATCAGCCCTGGGTTGCTCGTGGGTTGCCTCTGGTTGTGACCGTGATTCATAGTTGCCTGCAGCCCCCGTGAGCCGTGGGCTTGTTTTCATAGGAAACAGTGTGGGGATGACACCAGCACTGCTCACCGACAGAGCGTGGAAAGGAACTGTGCCACATCACCCTCATGTCTCCTGCCCTCTTCTTTCCAATGGAGCAAGGGCTCATCCCAGAAGGGAAGAACACAGAGCAGGATAATCTTGGCACAGATAATATCCCTATCTGCTTTTACTACAACACATCCACTAAATCCTCAACTGAACGCACAGAAACTGCTTCCCTCCCCCAGCACAAGTCCTTGCCACTGCTTATTTTTTCTCCCTCCATGGTGTGAAATACAGCAGCTTCAGTGCTGTCCCTGTGAATTACATCTCCGGGATGCCGACCCAGCCATGCAGAGTGGCTGCTATTGCACAGGAACGCAGCAAAGCCCAGCATGAAGCTGGAGGCTGCATTTTCTCAGTGGCATGGAGCACAGCGGTTAAGCTCCTGATTAATTACTGAATGGAAAAGCCTTTTTTGAAACATGGTAGCAAAGCCCTCAGCCTGGTAAGCTGCAGCTCCCAGGGAGAGGAGATGCCCCCTGGGGGAAGATGGCTGGGATGTGGGACTGGAGGTTATGAGAGGCCAGGAGCAACCTTGTGGAGCAGCTGGGGGAATGTAGGCATAGTGCAGGGTCCAGAGCAGCCCCTGCATCAGGAATTGCATTCATGGGACTTTCAGAGTTCTGTCCAGGCAGAAAAAACCCAAGGGGATTTTGAGGGCAGGTATTCTAGTAACTGTGAGCCAACAGAAAGGAGGCAGCCCCGCGCTGCTGCTTTGCCAGGCAGACCTTTCACTGCGTGCCTGGTGATGGTGCAGCAGCACATGGGGACACGTGTTGCCTCCAGGAATGGCACTGTAAAGAGGGTCGGGGCTCAGCCCACCTCCCCACGCACTGATGCTCCTATAGATGTTCTGTTGCTCAAGTACCACCTCCCCACCAACCAGCACCCAGAGCTGAGACCCCTGGAGAACATCCACCAGGACCTGCATCTCCTGCTCCCCAGCCCAAAGCATCAGTGATACCCCATGAAAACCCATGGCAGAGTATTTCACCACTACATATATGCTCCAACCATCACTGCCTTTGTTCATTCATCACCTTTTATTCTCTCCTCCCTCAGTCTGACTATAGAGCACATTAGGGATGCGCCACACATCCCACGTGGAGTCAGGAGCCGTTTGTCTCCCAGATGAATATTTACATTTATCCACCTGCCCACCCAGCCCACAACACACCATTTCTAATACCTGCCGACCCCCAAGCCATCCAAACCAGATATGAGATATACATACAGATATACATACAACCAGATATGAGATATACATAAGATATACATACTCCAAACCCAGCAAGAAGAGATGAACAGCCAGAGCAACGCTCTGCAGCCCGTGCCTCAGCTCACGGAGCTGCTGCTAGAGTGGAGTTAATATCTGCTGCCATGCTCATTATGAAAACAGGTGTACTCAGATCAGAGGCACTGCTGTGGGCCGTTTCCTGTTTTTTTGGCTGAATGATTCCGTCTTGAGTGGAAAGTATTCAAAGCGCTTCTGAACGCATCGCTGAAGAGCGATGAAGGGCCCAGAGCATCGATTTATAGCTTTCTTCAGAAGTACATCATCTGCCACAGGCCCTTAACTCACTGGGGAAGAAGAAACGGCCAGCACCAAGTTCACTTTATGTATGGTAACAGACTCCCGGGGCTGCCCAGCATCGGCTGGGGTGGAGGAAAGCGGCACGAGCACAGCCCACACCTCGCAGTAGGAAAAACAGTGAATATTTGGGGATTAACCCACTCCAGGTGCACGGGATCCAGCGTGGTCCCAGTCTGCAGCCTCAGCTCCAAGGCTTTGCTGCAAGCAGGAGCACAGGTGGTCCTTAAAGCCCACAAGAACCTCAACCTGAGCACTGCGAGGCTCCAGTTTGCTCCCGCAGTGCTTAAACCCAACCCCCCAACTCTGGTGGGGTCTGGGGATAGGGGCAGTATAATCAATGGAATATACAGATGTTACAATTAAGAAATAGCCAGGAAACTTAGGCTAAGTAAGATTATTGCAACAGGAAGACAATAAATGGAAAATGCTTACCAATGCTTTAGGCTCACAACATTCCCCACAAGGAGCAATCTCCAGGAAGAGATTCTTCTTGCTCAGTGGCAGTCAGCACTTAAATGGGGTCTAGGAGAGGTGAAGCCAGGCTCTACCCCTTCCAGTAGCACAGGTGAATTGCCTTTGTCTGTCTCCTGTGGCTGAATCATTGCTTGCCTCAGGTGGTCAATCAGAGGTTCAGGCCATGATTCAACAGCTCCCATACAGGGGCTGTCCTCACTGCTGTGGGCATTCCCTGGCTGAAGGAGGAGGGATGGGTTATGGATGGAGAAACATCGGATATGAACAGAGCAGGGGTGGGATATGTGTGAAACATAGGTGGAATATGGATGGGATGGAGAAATACGGGATATGAACGGAGCAGGGATGGGGTGTGGATGAGATGCGTGGGACGTGGATGGAAGAGAGTCAGGATGTAGATGGAACATGCATGGGAAACAGATGAGACATGGATGAATGTGGACGGAGCAAGGATAGGACATGGATGGGGCATGGGTGGGACAAGGATGGGGCTGGGATGGGATGTGGATGGAGTAGGGATTGGACATGGATGATACATAGATGTGAAATGGATGGGACACAATTGCAGCATGGTTGGGGCGTGGATGGGACATGGGACATGGATGGGACATGGATGGGATATTGGTG